ATATATAAGCAGTCCAAAGAGATTTTTAAAGAGTATGTGAAATTCCCACCCATTATTTGTCAGGAGAACTTTGGTGGTCTTAAAGCATATGCTCAGAGCTTCCACCAACCCCCACTACGTAGTCTCCTGAGACTTGGTCCCTTTTAATTCTTTTAAAAGGAACTCTGGTCAAAGTGAGCCTAGACCAATCCCTTCATTAAATTACAGACATCTCTGGGTTAACACTGATTAGACCTCGCACGGATAAATCTGTATTTACTCTTAAGGAGAGTACTAAGTTGAAGAGGCTTGAGCTTCCTTGTTTTCCAAGTGACTATTTTAACAAGGGCAGTCCAAAAATAATCTCGATATTCACCTCAGTGCTCATCTATTCAGATTCTTGGTAAAGGCAATGTTACCTAAATTGTCTCAAAGGGAGTCACATTGTTGAAATGTGTAAATATAAGGCAGATATTTTCTCAAGAAACTTGTGATGCCACTCTTGTGTCACACAATTATTCCAGCACTCACAAGTTGGTATCCATTGTGTGAAGGGGCTGGAATTAAGTTGGGTCAGACTAGTTCAGAACCTGACTTAGTGTAAAGTAGTTTTTAAACCTTGTCACATACTGGAAACACCTAGGTAGCTTTTGAGAAATACTAATTCCTAGACCCCACCCTCAGATTCTGATTTAATGACCATAATTGACTTTACGGATTTGGGCCAAAAAATGCTTTTTTTTTTCCTCTAGTAGTGACTCCATTTCCCAACATACTCCAAATCTCAAGTCTTTACTTCATTCCAGGTGCTATTACAACCAGTGCTCTTTACTACCATATTTTTGTTGGTTTGCTGTTTTTTGGTAAGATAGCCATTCTGAGTATGTCTGCCTAATTAGGATTCGGTTTTACATAAAACATTTGCTTCACCAGACCTCTTTGCCATTAGAGAAAAATCAAGTGCCCCCCTTTTTTTTTTAAAAACAGCAAAATCCCCTCTTAATTACTTCGCCCTTAGATAATTCCATTTGTTCATTCAACAAATACTCATTGAGCACCTGTTACATGCTGGGCACAAGTCTGGGTGCCAGGTATATGCAGTAAATAACACAAACCTTCTGTGTTCTTAGGGAATTTACATATTTCCCACTGGTGGGGGAGATAGATGAAAATATGGTATCAGATTGTGGTATGTATAATGAAGAAAAATAAAGTAGGGTAAGGAATTAAGCCTTTTTTTTTTTTTTAAGATTTAACCATGTTTTGTTTTTCCTAGAATTTAATAAACTGCTTGCATTCAGAACCATTATTTTTCCTTTCAGATACTGGTGAATACTATCCTGGAGGTTGCCTTTTCCCTGAAAATAGCTATTAGAGTTTTCACTGTCTATTCACCTCTTTCAGCATAGCAGAGCACAATATGAGATGGTAAGGACAAGAAAGATTTTCAAAGTGTGCTTAAGTTTAGATTTGTGTAGTTACCATGGACATTTATTGTTTTTACTATTGCTGTCTTATGATAAAGCTAATAAAGGTATTTTTGTGTAATTTTTTCATGAAATATATATAGAAAAATCAATAAATATACACCAATTTAACCATAACTTAGGTCAAGAAGCAAATCAATTCTAGTAACCTAGAAGCCTCTTCCTCCATGTGCCCTATCCTGATCATAATCCTCTCTCAACATTTTTGTAACTAGTCTGATTTTTGTGAACATCCTCTCCTTTTTTCTTTCTCCTGCATCCCTATGTGATATAATTTAATTTTGCTTGTATTTGAGCCCTGTGTTATAATTATTTCATATTTTGTTTTGCTTTTTTCCCTCAACATTACGGTGGAGATTCATCCACTGAATCCAGTGGTATATTCATTCTGTTATTGATGGACATTGGTGTTAGTTTTTGGCTAATACGAACAATGAACATTTTTGTTCATCTTTTCTAGTGTACATGGTATTCTTCAGGACATATTACCAAGGACTGGACTTGCTGTGAAAGGGTATTTTTCAGGTTTACTAGATGATTTTTTCTGCCAAAGCAGTTTCCCAGTTTACACATACAACTGCAGTTCGTGACAGTTCTTGTTGCTGCACATCTTCATGAATACATAAATGTGTTTCTTAAAGTTATTAATGAAAAAAAATTAGGCGTTAAAAATCTTTCCAGTTCTTCACACTTTAATTTCTGCTTCAGAGAAATCACTTTTCAGAGGTAAAGTAATAGAGTGTAGGCAACATCCGAAATACTGCACATGTATTATCTCATGTAAGAGAATCCCAAAGCAATGGCCTTTACTAGTCCCATTTTACAGATAAGGAAACTGAAGTAAATAGATATTAAATAACTTCAATGGGTATAAATAGAAATGGTCTATTAAAGACACAAAATCAGATGTTTGCCCGTAAGGTCTAACATGGTTGTCATGCTTTAATTCCTTACCCCCGCTTTCAAATATTTATGTGGCCCTAGAAACTGATCCTTGAAGAATGAAAGGGCTAATGTTTGTGATCCTTGGCAGATCTTTGAGAGGATGTTTATACACACAAAAAAATGACGAAAATGGGTCATTGCAATTCCTTGTGATCTCTCCACAATTACTTTATTTCCAGAATGGCTGAGCCACAACTTCCCTGGTAGGGTTTTTGACCGATATTCAAAAAAGAAATGTGCTAATATTATGTTGAAAACTTCAAGTTTGGGCAAGCCCAACGACCAACAGAAAACAAAACTATTAATATCAGCCATCATTACCAGGTTCCAGAAATATAAACGTTGCAGTCTGAATTCTCCTTTCCCATTTGTTACTCTAAGATATAATTTTAATTCTTAGTACGTCATTAGAAAACTGAATGTCATAATCATAAATCTCTTTTAGTTATTGAGTGAACTATGCTAACTGCTGTGAGAAATACCAAGATGTACCTAGATGTGGCATACAAATCTCAGGAAGCTTAAAATTCATTAAAAAGAACATGCCTATGATGGCTACCAATTAAGGAATTTTGAGATCAATGCGCCAAAGGGACGGCAGTGAAAAATACTGTTGTAGAACGAATGGATTCTGGAATTCTATGTCTTCTCACAGTTAAAACCTAATCTGCAGGTGCCTGGCTATCCCGAAGAGTGGTCTGTTTTTCTTACCAAGGGACCAGTAAATAAATGGAAATTGGCTTTATTCGCTCTATTGGGAAACAGGCTAGTATATAAAATGTAGTGCGAAACTGGTCACTCCTGAGTCCAGGCGGCCCTAAATCCCCCCCCGCCCCCCCGCCACAGGAAAGGGCTGAGCTGAGCGAGGGCTGCCCTGGGCATTGGTTATGTGAATACAGTACACACCTGACTTCGCGAGCCAGCACTAACTGGGAGCTGGCCGCAGGACCAGCGCCCAATTCCTGCTCAAGGCCGCGAGACTTTAATTTCTCTGCCCCGATCTCAGTACGTCCGTAATGGCCAGGGCAAGTACTTTCTGATGGCCTCCTTCCACAAGAGATTCGTTTTATTAAAAGAGACGCAGGGAAGAGTCAGTGAACTTCCTCGTTCGCGAAACGGCAGCGAAGATTCCTGCACTTTCTCCAAGGAAGGGGTGTCAGCTTTGCAGAACTGGAGTTTGGCCCCAAGTCTGGCCACACCCTGAGCTTCCGGATTAGGGCACAAACAGAACCCTCCCCCCAGAACACTTACCCTTACGGTTCAGCCCCAACAGGCTATTTTTGCTCAGTCCCTCACGGCGCGTTTCCGGCCTCTGCACCGGAAGTTGGAACGACTGAAACCGCAAATCCGAGGCGGATCCCGTGACCGGTTCAGGTGAGATCTCGCGACGTGTCTTCAAATCTCACGAAGAAGAGTCGGAAGAGGCCTAACTGCACCGCCCCAGTTTTTACGTCACCGCGGAGACACGCCCTTGGGCGCTCGTTTGCGTGCTCGCCCTGCTGCGCATGCGCACCCGCTCTCCTTCCGCCCCCGTGCGGGCTTCCCTCTGGCCAGTCGCGCGTGGGCTGAGGCCCTGGGCGGGCGTTGCGAAGGCTTGTTTGCTCAAGCGCTGACCCTGGGGCGGTCAGGAGTTCTCTACCTCGGGGGTGGAGGGTGCAGACCCCGTACCTAAGGTGAATGTGCTGTCTCGTGGACTGCTAAGGACAGGCTGGGGAGCAGGGGGGCCGGCGCCGCGGCCATGAACTCACCCGTGGACCCCGGCGCTAGGCAGGCGCTGAAGAAGAAGCCTCCCGAGCGGACCCCCGAGGTAAGGCTGGCCGACGCTAGCGTGCGTCCCGCTGTCCAAGGGACAGCATCCTCCTGTCGGTCCGAAAGCTGCGGCGACTGTCCCCTTGCCGGAGTCTCGCACCTGCTGCCAGTATATCTGTTCTCTGCGTTTCCCTCCCCCCCTCTCCCCGCCCAAGGCCCTTCTCGCCAGGGTGATGACCGCCTTTCCTGCTTGAGGTGCAATCTTCCCGCACACCCGTCTTTGCCGGTAACTTCCTAGTGTTTTCGATAGGAAGACACCATAACAAAATCGTGTTTTCTCAGGGCAAAATGTGGGTCTCGGAGTGAGAGTGTCCCTAGGTAGATAGAAAAACAAGGTAGAAATTGTTAAGTAGTCAAATTCTCAAAAAGTAACTTTTCTTTAAAGGTCCCTGAAGTTGCCTAGAAAAGAAAGTTTTCAAAATCAGCTTAAAACTTTGCCTCCAGTCAGGTGATGAATTCTGGTGGTGGATGATGCATATTTAAAGATTTGGTGGTTCTGGTTGGTACTTTCTCAGACTGTCAGCGGGAAATTTTTCAGTATTTTGTGCTTGGATCCAAAATTTGCTCTGTTGGGTTAGCATCAGTGGCATCAGGTTAAATGAATTTCATTTGGCCTGTATGCTGATTTTCAGTCACATAACTGAAACCTTGTAATTTTGCATAGCCCTATAGAGTGCTTAGATTTTGTGGGCGGTTTTCCTTGATTTGGAGTAGTTTCTGTAATAAGGGGTGTATTTCTTAAACCAAAAAGCAATAATAAGAGTGTGAAGGGATTGTTAGATTGTCGTGTATATGGTTGCAATGAATGAAATTAAATGGTTAGTTCTTAAGCCACTTTGAGGTTTTTTCAGATTTATAGTGCTTTGCATAGTAGATCTCAGTAACTTTTGTGATATGACATTAGTCAAGGTGTAACTGTAGCTGTGCTAAGTCAAACTTTTTGGGGATCCTTATCTTTAAATGAAAACAAGGCAAATTCTGCCACTTTCCAGAGTCCTCATTTTGAAACCTACATTTATTATCCCATGTGTTTTAATTTCCCTGTGATGGTTCTTGAAGTCATTGTGAGCTAATTGAAAGCCTTCACCTTCACAGGTGAATCTGCTATAGTTTTTATATAATTAGAAATGATTATGCATGTCTTGCAATCTATAATGTAGGTTTTACTTTTAAATATTATTTACGATAAATTCACATTTTAATGGGAAAATCTTACTTTAGTGGCATAATTAGCTTCTTTGGAATGGCCTATTTTTGAGCCTTAGGGGATTTTCTTTCTTCCTTCCTTTTTTCTTTTGTTTTTTTGGTTTTAGAAGATTTTCTAAACTATTCAGAAAATTATGTTGGCCGGTGTGTGCCGCATTAAGTACTTTATCTTGTTTTACTGGAACAGCAGCATTGTGTGAGGGAATGCTGACCAACTGCCCACAATAGTCTACAATCCTGACATAACATGGTAACTGCTTGATTTATTGGCAGTGCTTTTGAGTGAATATAGAATTTGTTTGCAGTACAAAAGTATGAATAAAGAAGTGGTAACCTAAATCCAAGTGATGATTTATTTTTGAGAATTTCATCAAATTACGTTTCTCTGTTCAGGAGATCTTTATTCTTTTAGTGGACTTTTAAAATTTTATTATAAATATTTTCATTTAACACTGAAATCTTACAAATTCAAGGCACTATTCTGTGCACTGGGATGTATCAGCGAACTAAACAGGCGTGCCCTACTGGTGCTTGCAATTCTAATGGAAGGGGCAAGGGAGGAGATGGGAAAAATACAATCAATTAAGTAATATGTGATGATGGCTAATTTAAGAAAGAATAAAGGGATTGGAAGCACGGGGCAAGGGCTGGGTTGCAGTTTAAATGGTCAGTGTTGTGATTTCTGAGAAGATGACTTTTGATTGAAGGCTTGATGCATGTGATGGAATTAGCTCTGGAGATACATGGGGAAAGAGTTTTTGAAATAGAGGGAATAGTCATTGCACTTCAGGATGAGGGTATGTCTGGTGCATTCAAGGAATAGCAAGGAGCTGTTAGTGACTGGAGCAGAGTAAACAAGGTTGAGAATTGTAAGAGATGAAGTTAGACAATAATAGTAGTGTAGGAGGGAGTGTATCATTAACGTCTTTGTAAGTCATTGGAAATTCCTTAACTTTTATTTTGTGTGAAAGGGGGAGGGGTACCAGAGGATTTTGAAGCAGAGGAGTGATATCCTACTTAACTTTTTAAAGAGCCCCCTGGTTGCTTGCTGGGTTGAGAATAGACTATATGGGACCAAGGGTAGAAAGAAGCAAGCACGTCAGTTAGAGGCTATCATGTTGAAGTCGGGAAGCGCTAATTATAACTCAGACTGAAGTGATAATAATGCAGGTGGCAAGAAGTAATCAATTACAGAAATATTTTGAAGGTTTAGCCAACAGGATTTGCTAATGAATTAACCATGTGCTTTGGGGGAAAGAAAAGCATCGAGCAGGGTTTCAAGGTTTTTGGCCTGAAAATCAGTGTTGGAGTTACCATCAAAGAGTTTCAGCTGGCGTCAGAGATGGGGAAAGCGGCTGGAGGAGTAGGTTTTGGGAGGGAAGATCAGGAATTCAGTTTTGAAAATGTTAAGTTTGAAATGTCTTTTAGAAATGTTGAGTAAGGAGTTGCATATACAAATTTGTATTTCTATAGAGAGGGCTGGGCTGGAGATTTTTTATATTTTATATATTATATATTTTATGTTTTATATTCATTCGCTAGTAGATACTATTTCAAGTCATGAGACTAGATGAAATTACCAAGGCGGTGAGTGTACACAGAGAAGAGAAGAGGACCACAGACAGCCCCATGGCACAGATGATTACTACAGCATCAGGGGAGAAGAGCAGAGACCAGCAAAAGAGAATGAGTGGGAGCAAACAGTGCAGGAGAAGAAAAGCCAAACGAATAAAGTGTGTAATAGAAGGGGATAAAATACATTCAACTTTTTTCTTGAATGCTTAGTTGGTGCAAAGCATTATGAAAAAATAGACAAATAGGTAAGAATCACTGTCTTATAATCTTGTAATCAGATGTTTGCAGTGTGTAATGAGTATAGAAGTCTTCTGTTTGTTTCTGGGACAAAATTAATAGTCTCTTTATTTTGAACCATCTGTTGTCCTTACGTGAAACTGTCATCTCAGACTTAATCTTAGTGAGCCAGACATGGAATGTGGAATCGTGTTGTACAGTATAACTTAGAACTGTGTTCTAACACAGTTTTTACTTTCTTGCTATTTCTCCTACTTTGTAGTTCCAGCTTCATAGCCCGTTGTCTTTCCTGAGCTAGTTCTCTGATTTCCTTTTCCACTTCACAAAGATTTTTTTTTTAAGTGGAAATTTTTAGACTTAAGTACTCTGCGAAGCTAAGTGCTCTGTATCAATGAAAGCTGTTAAGGTACTCATTTTGAGTCTTTCTAGCAAAATTAAAGATAGTACAGTCAAAATTAAGGTCTTGAATTTGGCCCTTCCTCAACTCAGTCCATATGCAACACCATTCTTTGTCAATAACCTTTCTTTTTTTTACCTCAGAGTGAGCTCCTTATCTTAACTCTTGGGGTTTATTTCCCTAAGTGTTTAATATCATGCTTTGCATGTACTAAATAATGAATAAATGTGTTAAAACAAAATTTAGAATTCATTTTGTATAGTCCTCCTGTTAAAAAGATAATAGTTTTTATCGATAGAACTGTTGATTTTGTACTTCCTGGGAAGCCTCATTCAGCAACTTGGCTTCACTTAATATTTATAGGCTGACACCTGGTCCTTCTTACCCCCTTTCATGTGCTTCGGATCCATACATCCATTAAATTGTCTTCCAGGTTCTTTAATCAGTAGTCCTAAATTGAAGCCTCATCATTCCCTCTTAATATTCTGTTGGTGACTGCCCCAGTTGCTCAGGCTAGAAATTCATGTTTCGACTCTTGATTCTCCGTAATAATCTTCTCTCTGTCCAACTGGCCACTAAACCTTGTTGATTTTATGTCCTGAATCTCTTTCTCCCTTTTTTTCCCGTGCTCTGCTACCCTAGTTCAGGCCTTTACATCATTTTACCTTTGACTATTGTACTTGAGTCATTTTATTTATTGTTATTTTACTGCTACAGTCTACTTTTTAATACATCTCATCATGTTTCACTCTTGAGAATTGCCCACTGCCTAGATGAGTTAGCAATAAGTTATCCAAATCATTTTTGCAAGTTAAAAGAGGTGCTATTAATATTTATGTCAGAATAACAGGTTAAAGAGGGGCTGTCTGAGGTAAACAGTTGTATTATCTCACCTAGGTAAATAAAATTAATATGTCCTTTCATTTAATAAATATGTCAGGCATAATACTAAAATACAGTGTTGTAGAAAGAAATTGGATATGGTCCCTGTTCTTCAGTGAGTTAGGAGATGGTCATGGAAACATCAGTAAAATGTTAAGGTTGTTAGTGACAATAGGATACTTTGGACTGCAAGTGGGAAAAGGAAAAACTTTGAGGAGCAGTTAATGGATTCTTAAAAATGGTGAATAGCTGTCTGGATGACATCTAGAAGGGAAGTCATTCCAGGCAGAGAGCAAGAAGAGTGAAGGAAAAGTGTATGTGTAGAACAAGAAGCCACTCTGTAAGCATGCATTCCCAGTTGGGGTGATATCATCCCCAAAGGGACAAAAATTATTACTATTTTTATAGGAATTTATTTGAGAGAGAGCACGTGTGCTCGCGCAGGGGGAGGAGCAGAAGGGGAGGGAGAGGGATACGCTGACTCTGCCCTGAGTGGGGAGCCCCACATGGGGCTGAATCCCATGACCTAAGCCAAAATCAAGAGTAGGAAGCTTAACTGACCAACTGTCCGAGCCACCCAGGCGCCCCACAAGAATTATTTTTTAGGGGAGTGGTGAAAAAATCTTAGACCTTAGTATGGTTTATAGCCTTAAAAGATTTAATTGGGGGTGGGGCAGCATTTTGGAAAAAAATGTCTAAAA